CCGGTTCCCTCCAAAGTTTCCGATTTTAGACCCATTTTTATTCTCTCCAACCTTTCAAAGCCTCTCGAAAGACTAGTCCATTCTCAGTTAAATACCTTCCTTGAGCAAAATGCTCTTCTCAATCCCCTACAGCGTGATTTCCAATCCCAGTTCTCCACCCAATCTGCTTTCTTGAAAATTCCCTAAGACCTTCAATTCTCCATAGATAAACAGAAAATTTCTATCCTAGTCTTCTTTGATTTTTCAAAAGTCTTTGATTCCGTTAATCATCAAATTCTCCTTTCCAAACTCCAAAACCTTTCCATATCAAATAGTGCCCTTAAGTGTTTCCATTCCTTCTTGTATGACAGATCCCAAACAGCCATCATTTCCAATAAAATCCTTCCTCCCCCCTTTAATTAGCTCATAATGTTCTGCAGGGTTCTTCGCTCTCTCCAACTATTTTCTCCATCTACATCAACGATCTTCATAATTCCATCCATTATTCACAACACCACCTTTATGCTGACGGCCTCCAAATCTACCTTTCCTTTCATCCTACAGAGATGCTTGAGGCGATTCAACATTTACAGGTATATAGATACAAGTATTACTACTTGAACACTGAGCAATGATTTAAAGTTGAACGTTGAGAAGACCAAAGCCATTCTCATTGGTTCCAAGCATCTTATCAATTCAATCCCTTATTATCTCCTAGTCTACCTCAATGAACTACCTATTCTTTTCTGTAATTCCGTTAGAAATTTTGGAGTAATTTTTTATCAATATCTCTCCTGGAACAATCATATTTCCCAAATTATCCGAAAGTCTATAGCTACCTTAAAACAGTTCTTAAGATTTCGAGGTTCTTTACCTCTAAAAACCCGCCAGCTCCTTGTTTCCTCTCTCATTTTTCCTCACTTCGATTATAGCTGCCTAGTATACGGTGGACTGCCTGATGGGCTTGATCAGATTGAAGAGACTAATGAATTGTTTCAGGCGCTCCCATGTCTCTAGCTGATACGCCCAGCTAAAGTGGCTCTATCCAGCTTCCCAACAGCAATATTTCTTAGGTATTTTTCTTGATCTGTTTACTCCTTGCTCCTCTGCCCATTCGTTCAACACAAGATCTCAGCCCACAAATCTGTTTATTCCTTCTCATAGAACTGTTTCTTTTAAGAAACCCTGTCTCATACGCTCTATGTTGTTTTGGAATTCCCTACCTACTTGTGTATGCAAATCCTCATCCTTTATCTCATACCTCATTTAAACACCATATATTTTTCCATCTTCTCAACAATCAATCTTCCGAATATATGTAAGAGTAATATTTTTTTGTTTTTTGAGAGCTATCACCTCATTTTACTGTCATCTTACAGATACCTATATATTATCCATTGTTTGTATGTAAACACACTCTTTTACATCTGCCTATAATTCAAATGTTAACATGTGCCTTTCTTTATTTTAATTTAAAGACTCAATAGCAATGTAGTTTAATAAACAACAAGAAGATAAACTTGTATGGCAGACAAATATCACTAAATTGTTCATTATAATTATTATTAAGTGGCTGAATGCACCAGAATAAAATTTACTTTTCTTTATATATTACCTTTATTTAAATCTGAGGTGGGAATATATCATAAAAAATCAGGAAATTTTAATATTGAATGCTTTATTCTCTATGCACAAAGAAAGATGGGAGGGAGCTAAATGTTCTTCTAGCTAACCTAAACTAATTGTTAGTATTTGGTCTCAAAATGAGGGAAAACGCGAAAGTTAACCCAAAAATTAGAAAAATACATTAAGGGAACGAGGAAGGAATCGCCAAAATCTCTGTAAAGAAAACAAGGATCATTATACATTATTTGGCTCAATGAATATATAGTAGACAGATGAAGAAAGAGAATATTTCAAGGAGCTGCAAGAAGGGGGTTAAATGCTGGGGCAGTTCAGATGAGATTAAGGGGAGGATGGAGGTTCATTGCGATAAAGACGATTTTTTCAGCAAGGAAGAATTGAACAAGGCAATTGGCAAGTCAGCAGTTCTGGATGAAATAACCTGAAATGCCACTAGTTCATAGGCAGCAAAGGAGAAGATATATTTTTCCATTTTTTCAATCTAATAAACCATTAGAAAATGCGATAGAACGTTAGTTGTGTCCCTTTATAAGCAAGGATATAACAGGAAATGTAATACCCATCAAGATATATCCCTGTTAAGAAGATCTTCTCAAGAATCGTAGAAGCTAGAATAAGAAATATTGTCAATTTCCAGAGTGATATGGATTTATAAATTCAAGATGCACATTGGAACTATCTTTAATGTAAGCCAGGTTATAGAGAAGTCCATCAAGAAAGGGAAATAGCTCTCTATCTGCTTAGTGCCTCACACTTTGGATTGTGCCAATTTTGAATTGCTTTTCAGAATAGCCTATTATATATTCTCCTTTCTGTTTCCTTCAAAGATCTTTCCTAAATTCACTAAACAGAAGAAGAGCTATTTTCCTTTCTCGATAGACCTCTCTATAACCAGCTTCAGCTTGAAGTAGTCCCAATGTGCAACTCGAGTAATAATAGAAAATAAAATCGTCTTCACCATAATAAACCTCCATTGCCCTCATAATTCTCACCTCCGATTTGCCCCAGCATTTGACCCCTTCTACTAGCTCCTTAAAATACACTCTTCATCTGCTAACTATATATATTTGTTTGGTCAAATAATGGATAATGATCCTTGTTTTGTTTTTTTCAGAGAGTTTTGCGATTTCTTCTTCGTTTCTTTAATACATTTTTCCAATTTTTGGGTTCACTTTTGCGTTTTCCCTCATTTTGAGACCAAACAATAATAATTAATTTCGGTAACCTAGAAGAAAATTTAGCTTCGCCCTGTGCATATTTCTTTGTGCAGAGAGAAATAAACATTCAATAATAAAATTTCCTGATTTTTTATATGGCCCCACCTCAAAACAAAATAAAGGAAATGAAATTCATTTTTTTATTAGTGATATGTGATTTACTAAACAGCCTGTTAACCCTGGACGTAGGACACTGTGTCCATTTTTTATTAAATGATTTAGTAACTAAGAAACAAATTTTAATAGCTCAAAGTTATGGAAAATTGGCTCTCCTAAACAAATAGAAAAATAGACATGATGTTCTTTACCTCCGCTAGGGCACAGATATGTAGTTTGGATTAAGTATATATTTTAGTTTATAAAACAAGTATTAATATGACTCATTTCAAGGAAAGTATATACAATTTAATACACCTCTAAGAATCGTAAATGTAACAAAAGAAGTGTTAAATTTCAAAGTTTAAATAAAAAATTCAAGATATTCAGTATATTTGAATTAAGTTTTATTATTTCAATAATATAATTTTTACAATGAGAGGCCTTCTTAAACATTCATTGTATAGAATAAAGGAAGTAATAAAAAAAAAATTATAATTTTTTTAGAACATTAAATTATTACATTAATATTTGTTCATCAAAATTAATACTTGTTCGGCTTTTTTTGCCTAAGCCAATTATTTTTTCATGTTTTACGTCCAGATTGGGCTTCAGGAGTAGGAGGAATAAATGGTCCAACTTGCAGAAGCTCCAAGACCACCTGATAGTATTAAACCAGTATATAGTCGAGCTTGACAAGCTATTAAAAACAACACACTATGAATGAGGATCGGTAGAAGATGAGTGCCAGGCCTGTTTCAAAGCCTTGGATGAAATGACTGCAATGATGCAATTCTTGGACCAGCTCAGAACGAATGCCATTTCCCGTGGTTTGATGACAAATGCGAAAATGTAACTCATCAAAAGAATGTGGCATATCATGCTATGACACAGAGAGGGATAAGAAGTAATATGGAGGAGAACAGGAGATTCCTCGAAAGGAGAAGAAACTTCATCGTGGGAAGAGGAGGCAGAAAGAATGTGAAGAGTTGCAGAAAGTAGAAGCCTTGCACAGAAGCAAAGAGTTAAAGAGAGTTCTTTTGCAGGATAAATAAGCTCAGAAAGCCTTTAACTGTGAACCAAACCTCTTGCCTGGATAAAGAAGGCAATCTTCTAACTGATAATAATAATAATATGCAACTCATCAAAATAATGTGGAATATCATGCTATGACGCAGAAAGGGACGAGAAGTAATATGGAAGAGTACAGAAGACTTTGTCGAGAGGAGAAGAAACTTCAAATGGCCGTGAGCCTTCCCCAGGTGGCAGATAGGGGAATACTCACCAGATGTGGTGGGTAACAGGGAAATAAAATACCCGGGGCGGACCAAAATTAACAAAATCCAGGAGCGGCGGTTCCCAAATTGGGCGGCTACCTGGTCAGCGTCTGTTCCCCATGTAAGGGGCGGCTGCTTAGATCACTTAGCAGAAAGATATAAAATGCACCTCACCCATCATTTGACCCCTTTATGGAACCCCATGGAGTTAAGAAACAGAAGAATTTTCTCGGATGAATCCAGAGTAAGGGCTGCTCTGGAGGGATAGGACCACCAGTCCTCGACATCGGCAGGCAGTTTGAAAGGTGCCCCGATGCCGTATGGGGGGCACCTGGCCTTGTAAGCTGGAGCGGAATCCTGCTGGAAAACCCAATTCAATTCTTATTTGAAGAGATTACAAATTTGAACTGTGCGGAAAAATTAATTTACCTCAGATTTGAGATACATTCATATAATGGTTTATCACAAAAGATTCAGAGAAGAATCTTGGCTGCCAAATATATACTACTTTGCCTTCTCTTCTGGAGCAGATACCTATCTTGGACAATATAGGTACAGGTTTACAAAACTTTCATTAGAACTGTCCACATTTATGGTTTGGAGACTTGGGCATTCACTAAGAGTGAAGAATGTTGACTTCAGATCTTCAAACAACATATTTGTACTAATAAGAAAATTACTGCAAATTCTGAATTAAACACCATTATGTTTCAGGTTCATGTTATACTCCAAGGTCCAAGGGATACCACCGGCAAAATGGAAAACAAAACAGAATAAAATTACTAACCTTTATGAAAAATAGATCCTTTGTAATGCAGTTGCTTCCCTTGTAAGCCGATTCCCTTTTCTCCAGTGCATAAAGTTCTGAAGTTTTCAACTGTTTTTGGAACTACATTTCTGAATAATTCAATAACTATGCGACCCACTGTAAGTATAAAAATAGAGCAAGTTAATTTAAAATTTAATGAATAGTTTTCTGAAAGTGAAAGGATCTATTAATTAATAATAATAACAATAAGGCTTGGCGAACCCGAATATTCTATGCTGATACCACAAAATTTTAAAAGCTTCTAATGGAAAACTAGGAATTTTTGAAAAAGTAAAATAAATAATAGAGCGAGTCATAAAAATGACCAATATTGTTTTCTTGGAAATTATAATCCAGTGAACTGTTTTGTTTCGTTTTCAAATAAGAATACAGTTGACATCACTTTAATCCATAGACAACACAAAATTAATATGTAAATAAAATGACCTCTTGCATTTAATTTTATCATGGTATTCGGTTAAACATGACACTAAAATTTTAAATTCAAGAAATATTATTACATGATTGCTGGAAATGTAAGAATGCCATTGCTGAAAAACTTGTGTGGTATGGCAAGACAATTTTAAGAAGAGGAAGCTCTTTTGAACAGGCTGCTAGCAGTAAACAGCTTGAGACAAAGTGAATCGATCAACAGTGGTTTATCACTGAACAGGACAACACTGACAAAGGGAGTCTATAGTCAGTCAGTGGTTCATCGAATAATATTGGACACATCACCTGGCATTCATTTCAATGGGCCCTAGGGGAGCAGGGGAAAATTTTTTAAATATAATTTCAAACAAAATTTATATTATTTATTTTTGCTTTAACCAATCTATTTCTTTTTTTTTTGTGCAAAATATGAAAAAAATATTGACTATGGTATTAAATAAGTCATCATGTGTCATAAAATATAAAAAGCACTTCTAGAAAAGTTGGCCAAGTAAATATTTTGGAGTGCCTCCTTTTCCGCCGCATTGAACGCCAAGATGTCAATGAACCTTGTTGAGCTTTCTGTATCCAGGCAGTAAACTTCGATGAAACATTTATAGTTCTTTATTTCAAGGAATATGACTATACGATGCTTTACATTATTGTGCCAGAGGATGACTAGGAGCATGTTATGCAGACAACTGCCCAACACATGAGCTGGGATTTCCGACTCTCTGCCACATTTGCGGCAGAGGGGTCCAACATCTCCGTTAACCTGGCTTCCGGCCCCTGGTACTCTGCTGAGAGGAGCGTAATTAATGTTTAATTTCTTGGCATTAGTCTATTCTGAGCCGGTGAGAACTTTTTTATCATAAATAAATTTATTGGTCCACGGATTAGATTTAAAATGGGACACACCAATTCCCTTGCCATTTGCACTTGCTCCACTTATCAAAGGACTTTTCTCTCAGGGACTGTCTCACCTTCCTAACTGTTAGTGATGGTTCCATACTGCTCACTTTGATCCCTAATAGATCATACACAGTCTAACTTCATGCCAAAATAAAAAATCCTCCGAAACAGGGCATCTGTTACATTGGCCAACTTATGGGAAATGGACAAGTGCTGAAGAGGAGCCTCCCACTGACACCTCAACAGACCCAAGCCTCTATATTGCTGCGGTGCATATATCATCTCTGGGCAAGTGCTGGCCGGTAAACCTACCATGGCCTTAATACTTCTTCGTAATATAATGTCTATAGATTCAAAGAGCGATGGGAACAGTTTCGCCAATGGTGCCGTTTGCAGTGGGTATATTAGAGATGAGAAGACATATCCATTGACAATATTGATCTTCTTCTGTTCTGGCTTAAGAAGATTTGAACTTACCAATTTTTCCATATTTATAGTTATCTTAGCCACAGATCCATCATTGAACTCTAGCTCCGCAGAGAACTGACAACCAAGATATTTAATAGTGTCCCACTCTTCAATGGAGCTGATTATCTCCCCGTTATCTAAGCAGAATCTTGATTTGACTAAGCTTCCCTTTTCTAAAATGATTCCAGAACTTTTTTAGGGGTTAAGGTATAGCCCCAGTTCCCGAAGTATCCTTCCAATGTAAATTATCGCCCTCTCTCCAGCTTCAACATTGCAAGCAGTTACCGCTTGATCATCAGTGAAACCCATAAGCAGAACAGAATAGTGGCCATCGAAAAATTTGTACCCATATTCTTCTGCAACTCTTGGGTCACACAATTCTGTGTATAGGGAATCTATACTCAAATTGAAGAGGGCAGGGGAAAGTGGTCCACCCTGTGGTACTCCTCTCAAGGCATTGATGTAGCTAGTCTTGTTGATTCTCTGACTGACTCTTATGGTGTAACACAGTAGGCCCTCACAGTAGGTGTAGACAAAACACCTCTAGGTTCGAATAACTGAAAAATATGATCATGGCCAATATTATTGAATGCTCCTGTAACGTCCAAAAATGGGACAGCAGCATCCCTCTTTTTGTTCTTTGCATCTTAGAGAACCACCTCAATGATTCTGGAGTTGACGTGGCACCCCGGTTGTCTAATCAAGAAACCTCTCTGATTTGGGTGAAAAGAAATTTGCATCCGAAGCTCGTGATAAAAGATCTTTTCAATAATTCGTCTTAATATGGGATAAATTATTATGGGTCTCCACAAAGACAAATCATCACTAGAGCCCTTTTCTTTATATATTAAAATTGTCCGGCCGCAACGGAGAATTTCAGGGACATAACAGAATTTCAATATATCTGTTATCATTTTGATTATATGTGATATTCCCAGCTTCCTTATTGATCTCACAAGAACACCATCAGGACCAGAAGAAGAGTCCATAGATGTGCTCTTTATTGCCTTATGAACAACTCTAAGCTCTGCCATTCCTATATTCGTATTATTGGAAGATGGTGCATAGTTTTCCTTTACATTATCATTCTTATGCTCAAAGAATGGTCTAAAATGTTCAATGCTTCAATCTTCTCATTTTTAATGGAGCATTGCTTTGGGCTGTCCGCATTCATGATACTTTGGACTCTTGAGCATGTATTGTTCGAATTGTTCCCACCTTCTTTCTCTGATCGCCTTGTTTGATCTCTGTGGGTTGCTAACATTTCACTTCCCGTTACTTTTCATTCCCACATTTTTCCTCCTCCGCATTTGATAGAACCTAATAGCTGGGTGTTTTGGGCCAAGAAACGTTTTATTCGCCTCTCTAAGAAAAATAAGAAAATCGCACATGATTGTGTCAAAGTTGTTCGAATCGAAAGGATCCTTGAGCAGCTCCTTAAATTTGGTTTCCCACTCTTTAATTTCAAGGTCAACTACACTCAGTTGGCTGTTTATCATTCTCGTTTCTATTTTTCTTATGGATTGATGCAAGTTTGACCAGAGTTTCCTCTGCTGGGTGCCTCTTTGATATGTGGATTGTAAGTCCACACTTGTTTTTAATGATAACTGGCAGATCGAACATGTCTGAGGAAGGAGATCTTCCGATATTTCTTGATAATCTGGATTGAAATTCGTGACATGAAGAACCTGAGTTCTTCAGTGAATCTTCCTCTATATTGTTGTCTTCAACTTCTACAATCTTCTATTCTTCCTTATTGAAAGTCACTACTTGTTAGTCACATTTTCTTCTCTGGATCCTCTTTACTAGCCGGCTGGTTTCCTTCGGCCTTAACATATGGCACTTTCTTCCCCTTCCCTCTGTCTTTGTCCATTTTTGACAGTAGTTCGTGATGTCACTGCCTTCGCGCCACTATTTAAAATCACTATGTAATATTGACATTATAATATACACTGAACGTTTACACATAGATCATCAATAAGATTTCAGATAGATCAAACATATATCAGGGTGGCTACCAAATTGTCAGAGTAAAATTCCTTGACTTTTCCCTGTTTAATAAAAGTTTTCCCTGACCAATATGTCAAGGGTCACAAATGTTAAAAATATATAGTTTATAACTTATTAATTTATAACTATAACTATATACATAATTTATAACTATTTAATTTATCATACATGATTGAAAATTGAAAGATTAGAGTAAAAAAAAGTCTGTTCAGTCTTTTAAAAAACAAATATAATGTTCAAGAGGAAGCATTTTTTAAACATGATTAGGATTTTTTTCATTTTAGAAAACTGACCTTAAGTAATTTATTTTTATCGCCTACTTACTAATACTGTAAGCACTTTATTTTCATAAAGTAAAAGAATGTAAAATATGATACTTGATGCTTTTATCTATTATGAAATAAACTGGGCTACGGGATATTCTTGTATAGTGTAAGGCAATTTAGTTTTTATGTTGCCACAAACAGAACAATTATTATCCATACGATACTAACTGTGAGGCGAGATGGCCGAGTAGTTCAGTCAATGAATGATTACAGAAGGAAATGGCAGAGACACAATTTTTGACTTTGGTAGATTGTTTGAATAGTAAAGAAATAAAAATATTAAAAGTCCCCACTACTAGGTGGTAAGCCAGGGGGAGGAGGCTTCTAGAAGGTCACTTTTTTCGGGGTTTCACTTATATCAGAAAAACTATCCATCGCATCAACAAAGACGTTCTATACAAAATTAAAGCTGATAATATTTGCAATATGATTGATTCTATACATTTTTTCGCTACCTCGCTTAGTTAGCGAGATATTTATCTTTAACTATAGCGAACTTTGAAGAAAAATAAATTTGAGTCTCCGTCTTCTTTCTATTACCCCCTATCGGGCATTCATTGACTGGACCTGAGGGGACTAAAAAACACGTTTCCTAGCAACCTTATAAACTCAAGCTTACATGATAAAATAATTATGAGTTCGCGTCCTGGTGCCGGGTGAGTTTTAAACATCCCGCCTTCTACCAAGGAAAAGCTTCGTATAGTATCAATGTAGAAGGGGTGGACCCAAATAAAAAAACTGAGACGTTTCAGGTTTGTACACGCTCTTATAATAGTCCGAGAGCCCGTGGCAAAAAGGTGTCATATACTAAGCTTTGTCCTTATAAATTGATCATATCAACAGGCCTGATGAGAAAAAGGTTTTCTGTATAGTTTAGAAGTTTACTCATTAAATTATGTTTCTAATAGATTTTTTTTTGTTTCGTAGGTAATTTAGTAATCTTTCTAATTATCATGGGTACAATCAAGA